GGCTCGACCCCTTTTCTTCCGCACACTTATGCAATCGCGTTTAGAAACGCTTTTTGAAGTGAACCTTCCTCGTTCCAGTTATACACTTCTTGGACCATCAGACGAATTACAGCGCACTCTCCTTGACTGTATACTGGGACTTGAGGAGGCGGACGAAGGTCTCATTCTTCTTTCTCACTCTTCTAGGAGTTCTGGGGCATACTCCCGGGACACCGCGTGCAAGCATTCCTGGATCCGGGGTGGGTTATGTAGCGTCTCGACGTTTGGTAAGGAGAGGCCTGCTGTCGAAGGTATGGCAACACAACTGAATGATCCTCAACGAAAACATAGCAGGTACTCTCCCAGATGCGGAGATGAGAAACTGACGGATTGTGTCCATGCCACAGTTCATACGGCGTTTTCCACTCCAGTCGCTTCAGAGAACCAAATTACGGATATACCCAGCAGCTCTTGCGGCTTCTGCCCACTACATTTTTGGAAGTTTCGCGGCTTCCATCATAGCTCGGGCGGACTCCATCACAGTCCGATGCTGTCCTTCAACGTTCAACGCGACCATTCTCAGCCGGCACGTACGGAGTCGTAAACTGCTGCTTCACTGAGTGCCTGTTCAAGAGGTCCTTCATCTTGGATGATTTGAACTCCATGGCATTGTCGCTCCGAACTACTTTCACTCTGTGATCACAAGCTGCTGCCTCGACAAGAACGGATTGCATCGAGGCGAGAATATCGCCCTTTTCCCGCAGAGGGTATACGAAGAGAAACCCGCTACAGTCGTCCACGAAAACCGACAACCATTTGCATCCACCTGGCGACTCGATCCTCACTGGTCCGCATATATCGAAATGGATGAGATCTCCACAACTCTTTGCTCGGTCGTCGCACTGCGAAATCGGCAAGCGAGCTTGCTTGCCAAGCCCACACGCTTCACAGAGACGACTTATCTTTGACGACTCCAACTTTCCTTTCACCTCAACCCCGGATATCGAATCATGTCGAATAGCCTGCGCAATGGTTTGAAAATTCGCCTGACCAAGCCGTTCGTTTATCGGCTGCGAATCGGGTACCTTTAACCCCGACTGACTGTCTGATCCTGTCAGAACTCGGAGCGTCATTCGATAGAGTCTTCGACCTGTACGGTCGCCAGTAGCTACAACAACACCATCGCGAATGAGAGTCATGCCCGTACTACTGAAGTTGGCTTCAAACCCTTTGACGGTCAACATGCCCGCAGAGATCAGATTCTGTTTCACGGCAGGCACATGAAGTACAATCGTGAGCTTCGCAGTATAACGTTTGCCATTGACCACACTTTCGAAGACAACAGAACCAGTGCCGATTCCATAAATCACATGACCACTCGCCGAGTAGATCTGTTGTTGGTTCTTCAGGAGCGTGTACTCGTCGAACCAGTCTCGACGAAAAGTCATGTGCTTAGCCGCTCCTGTGTCCGCCAACCGAGAATCACGTAGCTCAGCAGACTCGCAGGCAGCGCTCAACAAGAAATCCACGTCCTGACTTTCTTTGCTCACTGAAGCTGAGTACGCACCATTGCGCGGAGCAGTTTTCTTCTTTTCCTTCCGGAGCTTGAAACATTGTGCTCGCTTGTGACCCTCTTTCCCGCGAACGAAGCATTTTCCCGAGAACTTGCGCTTCGTTCTAGAATCAGGAACGCTTGCCACCAGAGCAACTGAGTCTTTATCTAGACCAGGAGACGACCCGGGAGACACCGAACTCTCTAGACCGAATTCCATTTTCTCTTCCTTTAGAAGACGCGGGATCAAATTTTCCCGAGTTTGTTTGCTCTCATCAAGATTATCCCAAGCGGCGACTAGATGGCGGTAGCACCTAGGAAGCTGCAATAGCTTTGCTATTATGTCTACCTCGTCAATGTCCTTGCCCAAACATTTGCTATATGAGTAGCCATCTCCATTCGCTCAGCCACCTTGTACGCGTGGAATTCTTGGAGCAGCAAGGTTACAGATAAGTTCGACATCGATTCATAGAGTGTCGAGAGCCTCTCCCACATTTCTTTAGCGCTTTTCAACCTCATGACCGCCCTGACAACCTTCGTCTCGAGAGCGCTCAAAATCACCGCTCTTGTTTTGGCATCCTCCTTAGCATTAGCAGCAACGGTAGCGGCATCCTTGTCTGGAGAATCGCTTTTGATTGGCGTGGAGCAAACGACACTAGTACTGTCGATTGTATCAAACCATCCGTTAGCCTCAAGATAGGCTTGTACTTGTACTTTCCACACTTGAAAATCATGCTGACCATCAAACTTCGTCACATGGAGCTTATTGTCGATCTTGATTGATTTCCGTCTGATTCTTGCCAAGTATTCTAGCTGTGGTTACAAGACACCGTCGAAAGTCCAATCCGAGAGAAGTCTTTCCTTGCTTCAACACTGAGGGTCTGGGAGTCTGGGCCCATAACCTGTTGTTATGTAAGACAGAGTTCAGTGAGGAGCCGAAGGAAGGAACAACTAGCTTCGTTTTCTACGGATGACTACAGATTTCTTTTATTCATCGACCAAGAGCTCCTTTTATAGCCTGAGACCAAGCCTCTGCCAACACCTTGTTCTGGCAGAAGCAACCATGTGATTCCACACAATAGAAGCACAGTTCAGCCTACGGAATATAACCGAAGATCAAACCAAGTTCGAGTATGCGCTGACTGCCCTGGACCAGGACGCCCAAGAAAGGATTGCTGATTTTTTCGACGACCTCCCTGCGCAAGGCTCAAGATACGGAGCCTTCAAGGCGAGGGTTCTAGACTCATTTTGAGTCGCAAGATATCAGCGGCTTGCAAGCCTTGTCAATCTCACCATGGGAGACGACACGCCATCCAGGCTGCTTGACAGGATGTCTAGGGTTGCACCGGCCAGATACGAACGCCACAAAGAACCCTCTGTTCCTTTATCACTTCCTTCAGAAGCTACCTGCTCATGTTCGCGACCAGGTAGCCGCCTGCGACGGTCTTGAGCTCCGTGAATTAGCGAAGCTAGCAGACAAGATCTACGCCCAACGGCAAGCAGCAGCGACATTCGCCGTAATCGATGAGGAAGATGTCGAGGTAGATGCTGTCCGGCAGGCCGCCCAGTTGAGGAAAAGGGGGGACAATACCGATCAACGCAAGCGAGAGATCTGCCGATTCCACGCCAAGTTCGGTGAACGGTCTCGGAGCTGCCTAATGCCCTGCTCCTGGAACGGTAAAGTAGCGCCCCCCACTTCGGGAAACGCTTACGCCGGCCGCCAGTAATCGCTTGCGCGGCCGGCACCGGTGACAAGGGCGAGCTCTTCTTCGTATTCTGTACTTCCTCCAAAATACACCTCCTCGTGGACTCAGGAGCACAGGTCAGCATTATACCGCCAACAGCAGGGGAACGTCTCACCCCCAGCTTACATAGCCTCGTAGCGGCAAATCATAGTCCGATAAAAACCTACGGTACGAAAGAATTCAAGCTCAACCTCGGAGGACGCTTCGTTTTCACCTGGAAATTTATCGTTGCAGATTGCAGACGTCAAACACGCTATCTTAGGGTCTGATTTCCTTCGGAACGCGGGACTCATGATCGACCTCCGTGGTCGTAGACTCATCGAAAATACATCGCTGGTATCCATCCCGCTCCGAAGCTCTACTTCGCGAGACATCGTCGGCATCCTCACGAAGGCCAGCAACGGGTTTGAGGCGCTCCTGCTCGAATTTCCGTCTGTTCTAAAACCTCGTTTCGACGCCGCCGTCTAACACAGAGTTCAGCACTTCGTCGTCACGAAAGGACCTCCCAAACATGCAAAAGCACGTCGACTGGCTCCTGAAGTGCTTCGAGAGGTCAGGGAAGAGTTCAGGTCGCTCGATAAACTCGGGACTCGGGATCATCAGGAGATCTTGTAGCCCGTGGTCCAGCCCCCTTCATGTTGTTCCGAAAGCGGATGGCTCCAAAAGACCATGCGGTGACTTCCGGCAAGTTAATGCGGTTACCGAACCCGATCGATACCCACTGCCCCATATCCACGATTTCGCAGGGAACTTGCATGGCTACAATATATTCTCGAAGATCGACCTGGTAAAAGGGTACCATCAAATTCCGATGGCGCCGGAGGACATTCCTGAAACCGCCATGATCCGCCCTTTCGGTCTCTGGGAGCACACACAGATGCCTTTCGGCCTCAGGAGCAGCGCTCAAACGTTCCAACGTCTCATGGATTCAGTTTTCGTCGATCTCCCGTTTCTATTCGTTTATCTCGACGATGTCCTCGTCGTATCCAAAGGCAAGGCGCAGCATCTTAAAGACTTGAGACTCCTCCTCGAGAACCATGGTTTCGTCGTCAATGCAGAAAAGTGCAAATTCGGTCTACCAGCCGTGGATTTCCTCGGGCACCGAGTCTCGAGTCAAGGAATCGCCCCTCTGGCGAGCAGAGTCGACGTTATACGATCATTTCCGCAACCGAAAACAATCATCGAGTTGCAAAGATTCGTGGGAATGGTTCGTGGGAAAGCTGCTAAAGTGATGTCACCGCTATTCCTCGCGCTGGACGTAGACCCGAAATCCAAGAACAAGGCAATTCTATGGAAGGACGAGACGATCGCTGCTTTCGACGCCCAGATTACACAAAAAGCGGTAGCACAGGCTCTGGCTTGCAATGGGAACATGTCGACTTGCCCCCCTTAGGGCCGCCCCTGCTGTGCGACTTCTCCACGGGCTCTCCAAGACCCTGGCTCGTCGTGTCCCCTCTCGGGATCTGGAGCTGCGGCTCATCCATCGGAGCTCAGACTCACAATACCGTTCAACTCTGAGATTCTCCTCCCTCGTTTTAAGACCTCCCCAAACCCTACCTTCTGTCTTCCCAGGTCTGACAGGATTCGCTCGACCGCGTTCACCGTCGACGGAAGATACGTCCGAACGTCCACCGTCGAATTGCACTTTACCGTTACTCACGGTGTCTTCGTCGGCATCTGAAAGCGGTTCGACTTCGACAGAAGTCCGTCCTAGCGGACCTATAATGGCTCCCCCTATAGCTGTCGCACCGTTGGTCGGAGCAACGACTCAGGAAATCACAGCACGACTCCTGTTCATGGTAATACGTTGGGTGAAATGTCTTCCAACGTTCCAAACTCTTTCTCGCGGAGATCAAGTGTGTCTGTTGGAAGAATCATGGAGGGATCTCTTTCTGCTATACATGTCGCATTGGTCACCGGGCGTTGATCTAATCTCTTCGCTGCCCGCTAAATCATCGAGACCTTCCTCGCCCAAATCACCGACGGGTTTCGCCTGAACGGGACGCGGTTAGTCCCGCCGCCGTACATCACGACGAACTCAATCCAATCGAAATCCATTACGTTCAGGACGTTATGCGTCGCTTGCGTCAGCTCTCGCCTGACGACACTGAATGCAGTTGCTTAAAGGCCATTGTTCTTTTCAAACCTGGTAAGAGCGACTTCCGTCGAGGTGCCGATGGCCCCTGGAAATTTTCGTCAAGCGAATAGTCGTCCCGAAACTTTTTCCGAGCCCTGAGTCGGAATTCAAGCCTCCTTTCCGTATTTGCAGAGACAATGGGCTTGTGCGATACCCACCCGGTTGAAATGCTTCAAGATCGAGCTCAATGCGTGCTTGGCGACTATGTCAGGGAACGATATCCGAGGCAACCAACACGCTTTGGACGTCTTCTGCTGTTACTTCCGATTCTACGATCGATCTCGAACGTCTTCATCGAGAAACTTTTTTTCAAAGGCACCATCGGCAACATTCGGGTAGAGAAGATTCTCGGAGAAATGTACACAATGCAGGTCGACACCTGATTAATCAATTGACGGGGCTGCACCCTGATCTAGATCTCATAGCAGCGAGAGCGATGATTATTATCGTACTAATTTCCAGATACACACTTATATGAATATATACCACTGCGCAGATCAGCTGCCAGTGGGATCGTCGCCGTCAACGCGCAGAAAAATTGTATAGTGGTAGGGTCTGTTCTGTTGAGAGTAGTCGACGAAGACGAATGTAGCGTTAATCGTAGGAATGAAGCAGGAATGGATTCAACGAATTTCTTGAGAACACTTTTTGCGACAGCCACTCCGTCACAGCCATTACGATCTCTGATGAGTAGGTATGCGGCGACATCTTCGATGTTTAGTCATTTTTCTTCATGGAGGGATTTATAGCGGAAGTTGAATGGTCGATTTCGCGCGTTATGAGTCGTGTCCTATCAGAAACCTTTCGAGCTTCTAGGTACTCTCACTCAGTGATTCACGGCTTTCGAAGAGTTGCCAAAGTTTTCGCTGTGATGACCTCAATGCTTTCCCTTGTATAGAGCCATTCACTACGAAAGGACGTCATAAAAAGAAACGCGATTGCAAATAAAATTGACTTAGACGTGTTGGTTGGAAATGTTTCATCTGAGCGGAGCTATCCGAGCACGCTCGTGCTGACCGTGTGGTTTCGGAAACATTGCCTTCCTATCCATTTTAATTCACTCAATTCAGAATTCCTCGTTGGAGATCTCCCTCCTTCTGGTTCGATCAGGGGAACCAAACACTTGTGTGCGACGACCGTTCGATTTCCCATTGCCAGGCCAAATCATCAATCCGTACGTCTCGCCCCCATAGCTCAGGATTCTACCAGGAATGGAGGCTGTTGGACCGTCGCGACGTGGGTAGGGGGACTCCGTCTCGAGTCAGATCGTGCGGGAACGGACGAAGCTAGATGGTTGGCGGATATTGAGTCGACCCTGACAGCAGAATATCGTCGGGAATTCTCTTTGGTGTCTCAACGTGCTTCGATATGTCGAAGATACCCTCCCTGAGTTTCGCGCAGACGTTGTCCCCGGTCACCGAAATTTGTTTCGGCGATGCTTGCCGTGGGATCTCGTTCCTCAAATGCGTACGTTGCAAGCGGAATCTATGCGCAAAGTGCTTTTCCGTGGAAGTGGAAATCACTTCGTGAAATGCCGCGGGATGCTTCAAGTGAGGGGAGGTGGCGTGAGCTCGATCCTGCTGCCCGTTGAAAATTCCTGAGGAAAACGCAGGCAGCCAGTCCGGTCCAAGACAACTCGATGCCGCCAAACCCGATGCCGACGATTCGATGCCGACTATTAGATGCCGAGACGGTTCGATGCTGCACATTTCGATGTTGAAACAGTCAGATGCTGGTCATCTCGACGCCAAGATAGTTCGTTGCCGGTTATTCCGATGCCAAGATAGCCCGATGTCCAACACTCCGACGCCGAGGTCGACCGGGTATCCGGGATTCAAGTGAGACTCCGGCACACACACGCTTAAATTTCCAGAGCTCCGCCAATTTATCAAGACTTCACCTTCGTTTGTGCTATACAGGAATAGAGGACGATTCATTCAAGTGCAGAAGCTCTTCCGATTTATCTCCCTCGTCATTTACTCTACTATGAGCCATCCCTCCAATTTATTTACGAACCGGGCTACCCGATAAACTTTTCGGTAGTATTGAGGCGACTCGAGCGCCGCCTTGAAAGTATAAAACGCTAGCCTCCGCAGGGATAAAGTAACATTCATTGCCAACCTTCGTTATCTCGCCTATCACACGTTACATTTTGTAGCAGCAGGAAACGGAACCCAAGCCATGGAAGGAGACGGACCGCAGAATGTTCAACAACCTTCGACTGTAGGAGCCCTCTCAGCTCTGCTCGAAGGCCTTGCACCACTCCCCGACCTACCTGCCTTCGATCAAGAAAAAATAGGAAAATGGATAAAGAGACTAGAGAGGGATCTACTCGAGCGTTGAGATGTCCGGCATCGAGCCGTCATGGCATCGACTCGTCCTGCATCGAGTCGTCCCACATCGAATCGTCTCGACATCGAGTTGTCGGCGTCGAAAGGTCGGAATCACGATGGCCCCATTGTCTTGTGCCCAGGAATGACTCATATCTTCATATCACCCTTGTCGGACACGGACTCGGAGGATTCAAAAACAAATCATTCTCATCTGGATCGTGGTGCTGGGATCCATTTCCGAAATCGTATATTTCCGAAAGAGATCGTCGCTCACTCTACACCGATTGGGTGTGAATTCTGATCTCGTCGAGCAATATCTCGTAAGATGCACCGCGTGAGTTGAAGCTCCAGGATGTGCGTAGGTAACCCTGCACTCGTTTGCGGATCCAAACATGAGCGGGAAGGACTTGAGTGTGATAAGCACCTGCGGAATGTCATGCGTGCGATCTGCTCCTCATAATAGGGATAGCATCGCTGATTGGCAGAGCCTTTGAGAGAAATTTCCGGCCTGGGGGGAATTCAGACGAGAGCTCCCCTACGTGATCGTCTCGCGTCGCTGAGTTGGTATTCCGGGGATCATTATTCTCGATACGGAGCCAATAAATGCGGGCTCAGGTACCACAGGGGAGAAATCCCCCTATCCCCCTATCCCCCTATATATTATTATTTATTATTATTATATATATAGTAAAAGCGCTGTGTCCGTCCGTCCGTTCGCGACTTTTCGACGCTTTCCCTCCCTTAATTCCGCTTCCAAACAGGCTCATCGGATGCGGGATGATACCGCGGTGTGCAAGTTGGCCTTCTTTCGAGGTTTTATTAGTCGTTTACGGAGTAAATGCCGAAAGAAAGGAAACTTCTTCATGAATATCCGCCTAGACTGAAATGCTTCGGATGACGTCATTCGGATGATGGTTATTCGACTTGATCAATTCTTCCTTTCTATTAGTGAAACAAGTCCTAATAAGCAATGAAACAAATAATGTCTTGTCCTCGAAAGAGAGATGCTTGAGAGAAGCTTTATTAACCGCCAACCTCATTTGTATTTCCGAACACCAAACGCATTTTCGCATGACAACATCTCGAATACCCCCACTTGCGTTACATCATGCGCATTCATCCAAAGCAACGAAGCAGTGCTATGATCTCGACATAATGTTTCGATGACATTCCCAGCAGTTGACTTGGCATGAAACGCCAAAGTCTTTCACATGGAGACTCCTGTGTATACCTGAAGATCCAGCAATATGAGAATTGGGAATCCGTATTTCATACGTTCTGCCCTCACGCGAGAGAGCTCGAATCCATTCGGGACCGGTCAAAGAGCACCGAAAGCATCGAGAAGGATGAGTAGCCATGCTTCTTTTCAAGTCGAGCGACAGAGATCAGCTAACGCGCCAGCGCCAGAATGAGTAGATGCACCAGCTCACGGCAAATATCTTTTAGCTCGCCTTTAGACAGGGGTTGAAATGGCAACACGATATTATATTGTGGAGAACAGGAGATTTGTGAGGATCGGAAAGTTCAATACTTATGATCGAATCAACATCGGCACATTTACAAAACTTGAATTCATTTTCCAGAGTATATGTGTCTGAGCCTCTCTTCTGGAATTCGATGACATAGATGAAAGCAGCGACGGTGGCCGCCTACATATATGTATGTCATTGAATTTCAAAAACGAGGCTTGCCCCATATGCATATGTCAGGCCTTCAGCCGACGCACGCGGCCGAAGGCCGCGCCGACGGCTGTTGTAGGATATAGGCGGAAAAGTCCCATGACACGCTGAACTGGGGCCCCTCCAGGGACCCTGAGGCAGGAACTGGGCCCGGCATAGAAAGTAGCGCTGCTCCCCCCTCTAATCGGGTCTGCTGATAGGACATGGACACGCGTTAAAGATGCGTCGGCCGTCGACGGAGGGAGTGTCGCGAGCGGTGGATAATGGTCGGAACTCGATGGGAGATGATAATCTGCCTGCTGCGGAAAAGAGGTTTTTCAATTGCAGTCCGCATCGAGGATGTCGCTTGTTTCGAAGCAGCAATGCAGCAAGCGCTCTATCTCGGGTCAAAGTCGGAAGGGAAGGATCGACACCTGATACCAGTCTCTCTGAGGACATCGGAAAACCAGGTTTTCGTCATGTGCTTCAGATTCTCAGAAACAGACGTTGCAGCGGAGCGCAACGGGTTCCGCTAGTCGACATGAAGACGCGATCAGTGGGCTCCTCGCGACCCAAAGCAAGGGCCGATTCTGAGCTTGTCAACAGTCTGTTTGCGTAGCGCATCACAAGAAACAGAATTATCGGGATCGTGAGTGTCGTCATCACTGATAGATTGTCATTGTAGACTTTATTGCTGAGTATCCTTTATTCGACGACCAAAGGATCTCGCGAGTCATCAT